AAACCTCATAGCACTCCGTTGCTCGAAATTGATGTTAGTTATTTTTAGAACACAAAAAAAATCGCTACGGACAACTAAATGACTCGAGCGAGTTGAAACTTGTACTGAAGGTGGATCACATGTTCCCCATCTCCCCCTTCAAGCCCGGTGCCTCCAGCCTTGCCAGATCGAGCTCTAAGTTGCCAGTCTCATCCTAATTTACAAACCTCGTACAACGTTTTATAAAAACGGTAGCACAACTCATTCCCATTTTTTGTACCGGGTTGCGATACAGTTTTCTGTTGGTCAATCCATCATTGTCTGATGCAATGTGGCTAATTAGACTTTTATGAGATTCCCTTATAAAAGCAACTAGCTGATGCTGTCCCGAACAAACGTTTATATTCCCGTATGGGAAAAGCTAGTGGAAAACTGGAAATTTTTTGTGTTTGTTATGTGGCATGCATTGGTGTAGAGGAGCCTAAAATTTTATCACGTCATTTTCGACTGCTTCATTTCATCGAACAATTATTTGATGTAAAGTTAGCTTAGAGGCTATTTAATCTTTGCGATACAAATATAGAGACAATATTATCACAATAGCCTATTCTTGTCGCAATTGAAATGAAATAATTCTCTATATTTCCCCAAAAAGGCACAAAACTTACTTTACCATAACTTACAACTCAATAGTCCTTTATAAACACTTTCATAGGATCTCAAGAATTCTACAAATCATTCATCATTTTTAAGATGTCAAGCTTGAAGGAAGGTAGTTTGAACATTCATAAAAGACTATCTGTCTTGCTGTCACTACGTAGAATGACACTGTCCGTCAATCCGTCCTCGAAAAAAATTAAATTTATAGTAATAGAAACTACAAGATCATCACAGGATGTAGATTTTTACTTTTTCTAAACCCTATAATTTGAAAGGTACACGACTTAGATTTTTTATATTTTTGTGATAACTATTATGACTTAGCCTATCCCCCGTTTCCGGCTTGACGTCGTCTTGTGGAACACAGTAACATATATGACGCGTCTGTGGATTACTACTCTACCACCAAAATCTAGTCATCCTATAGGGAAAATTAATAGAAAACGTAATCTGTGGAACTAGACATGACATGAATAAAACATAGTTTGCCCTGCACGGCAGCAGCTGTTCGAGATACATCGAATCAAAATCTAGTGATTTACGGCTGACCGAACCCTTGCAATATATTCAAGTCAGCTTTCCACAAGCTTTGTTAATCTCTGACTAATACAAATTGATTATTAAACTGTCCAGTGGATAACATAATAACCTATATTGTGGAGAGAACAGATCGCTGGATACTGTGGTGATGGTTCAAGCTACAAGTGGTGGAATTATAGGTAAAATCAGTGAACAGCATGATGATTAGGGAGATTTAACGTTAAAATTCGTTGTACAAAAGTACAAGATGTTGACGAGACGCGTTCATGCTGAATTATGTTCTCAGTAATTTGAAGTTCCAATCCAAAACAAACAGCATTCTGGCCAAGGCCATAAACCAATGGCGTTAAGTAGGTCGACTGCACATCCCACAACACGCCATCATAAGTTCATAAAGGATTATGCATAGCATAAATGAGAAAAAAAATTTAGTTACGAACATGTATAAGAGGGAAATTGAATGGATAAAGTCAGACGCCAGACGCGGCATTAAGGCCAGAATACTTTCCAAGGCAGGCACGTTCTCTATACGAGAAACTTGTGTGAGTGCAATATGTCAAATAGGTGCATAGAACTGTCGAGATTTTGACCCTTATACACCCTTATAACCCGTTGCCCCCAAATTTTTCATCCTATTCTTCAGAAACGGCCAGGATCCTCTGAAACGTCAAAAAATGAAATTTGAGCAATTTTTATTTTTATTGTTTTTGGCCTTTTTGTCCGCCGCCATTGCAATGATTTTCAAAAACGACAAAGCTTTTTCGTGCTTGGCATAGTGGTAACCTTGCCTGAAAATTTCATCAAAATCCGACCTGTACTTTCCAAGTTATAGACGGATCAGCGAGCAGACAGATATTCACACTGACAGATAGACCGACAGACGACCGACAGACAGACCGACATATAGACCAATAAACAGACAGATAGACTGACGGACAAACCGACAGACAGACTGATAGATAGATCGACAGACAGACCGACAGACAGACAAACAGACAGACCGCCAGACAGACCGGCAGACAGACTGAGAGACAGACACACAGACAGAAGGACAGACAGATAAGTTTTGTCTCTAAATATGTGAAAAAGAATGCAATTTTGGGATAGGCTATGCCTTACAAGTCATAACCTTAGCAAATTTATGAAATGATTTTAATTGCCAGCGGCAGCGTTACGGCAACAGTACGCCGCTTCGGCGGTACGGCAACGTTAGAGTTTATAAATCGTCCTTTAAAGCTAACTTCTAGGGATCAGTTTACTTCATTACGTGGTTTAATAGTACAGTCCAAGCGTGAACATAATAATTCCTGATCAATGAGCACTTCATTAACGCTACATAAATTCCGAAAAGTTCAGCCATTCATAGCAACGCATAGATACAATTTACAGTATTTATTCAAATCCACGCGATTTTGCGAAACGACGGAATCCTAGACCACTACGTAGGGACTAAAAAAAATATCTACATTCATATGTACACAAAACATACAGGACCTGATCCACAATATAGTATACAACCGAATGCTGGGCAGTTCACAAATCATCGCTCGCAGCACCCAGCACTAAAAATATAGTCTAATTCTGTGCCCCTGGCTCTGACTCTGCCTGTGGTGCCTGGTGTGCTGAGAATGTGCTGCCGTGGTATGCGTTTAAACTCCACTTGGGTGACAAGTACTGGCAACGTCAAGGATATCCTCTCCAGGCAAAATCGAGGAAATTGCATCCGGCATCGCGTTACGTGATGCTTGTCGGGATTCTCTATCTCTATCTAAATGTGAAAAGATCAAATATGGCCTTCTCCGAGATGTATCGTTAAAAACGAATATAAAATATGAAGTAGCTGTGATGGTATGTATTGTGACTATTATGGAAGATGCAGAAGTTCAGGAGACTCTGTCATGAAGTGCTACAGGTAGGCTGTGAACTTAACATATCGGCGTGATTTAGTTGGTAGATTATTTAAAATTACATATCTGGAATCAGCCTCTTTATAATCTTTCTAGTTGGCACATTTATATAAAGTACGAAAGCTTTTTTGTATTCAAAATGACAATATATAATATCAGCAGAGTACAGTCATAAAGTAATATAGTAAAATTTTGCCAATTTAGGCCAACACTTTGTCATAGAACTGAGCAAACTAATCAAAAGTGATTAGCTTATTTACAGAGTTTGTATAAATTACATTAGTGTTTTCTGTATTGTTTCAAAATTATCAAGAAGCAATTCAATGAAATGAGAGACGTGCGTTCTGCAACACAACATGAATTTGGAATAAATCTATCTATATTTTCATGTAATACAATTTTCATACCGTTGTCAAAAAAGATGTTTACAGCATGTGATTATTTTTTGAAAATAAATGTATTTTGAGCATCACACTTAGTATTAGATTTTGCTATTCTGAAACTTGTTCTCAACAAAACTGCTGGAAGAGATACTACCCTTATTGGGAATATTTTATGTATACAGGGTGGCCCATCCATGTGTGGACGGAGTATTACTCACAAACAAATACATTTTGGGAAAATCTATTTATGGGATGTTATACATGACATTTGAGGGCACATTTATAAAATATTGGCCATTATACAGGGTGTCCCAATTTCGACCCACATATCAAAGTTGTGATTTTTCAAATGGAATGCCTCAAGTTTTATTGCATATTTGGATCAACCAATTAAAGAAAAGAAAATTGATATAACATACTATGGGGTTTTGGTAATTAGCTACTAAGATATAAGTTGTTTTGTTTATAAAAACACCCCACTTCAGCAATCCCTCAGTCCGCCATTTTGGAGTGCTGAATTTTAAATAAAAAAACTTACGTTCCTCTGCTTTTACCGTATTTGTTATTTTTTCGAATTTTAATTTTTGCTCATATTCACCACTTCTTCTTTAGTAAAAATTCATTTTCAAACACGTTTTTATTATAATGCTCACAAACTTAATTTTTACAGTTCAACAATTTATTTGTTTCCAAGGATGATGCGATATTTTAGGGAATTAAGCCGTTCCATAAAAGACGTGCTAATAACTGAAAAAATAGCCATAAAAACCCTTATGTGTCTAGTATCAAAAAAAAGCTTATAAAAAATTGAATCCAAACTTGCACACATATATAGGGTGGTGCATTTGAAATTTTTGAGAAATACTACAATTTGCGTTCTTGACCACCCTGTATGAACAAAAATGAGAATTCGAAAAAGTAATAAATAAGATAAAAGCTGAGGTGTGTAAGTTTTCTTTGATACAAAATTCAGCACTCCAAATTTCAAAATGGCGGATTGAGGGGGTGCCCAAGTGGACGGATTTTCTGGACAAATTACCTTACATCTCGGTAGCTAATTAACAAAACCCCATAGTATGTTATATCAATCTTCTTCTTTTGAATTGGTTTATCCAAAGATCAACTTTGATATGTAGGTTAAAATTGGGACACCCTGTATAATTTCCAATATTTTAGAAATGTGCCTTCAAATGTCATGTATAACATGCCATAAATAGATTTTCCCAAAATGTATTTGTTTATGAGCAATATTCCGTCCACACATGGAATGGGCCACCATTATACCTTCATGAATTAATCCTTCAATATCGGAAATAACATTTTCAGCAGATTTCAAATTACGAACAAACGGAATTCCCCGGCACATTCCTGGCATTCCTTATTCCAGGCGCAATCTCGACATTCTTTCGATAGTTCCTGCCGGATCTCCAGGCAAGTAGGCGACGAAACCATCTAACAAACGTCCAGTTCTTCAGTTTTATGTGTTTTGTGCCTCTAGGTATATACATATAAGTACTATGAAAATACTTACTTTCCTGGGTCGACTTCGAAGACATTTCCTGCAAACCAATGGTAGATGGCTGCAATTGACCAGGCGACGCCGATCCCCAGAAAAACGTTGACGGCATTGCTGCCGGTCACGTTGCCGATGCTGGCGTCTGCGTGGGCGTCATGCACGGCAGCCACTTTGCTGGCGAACGTGTCTGCAACAAACAATATAGATTAGCTGTTATGCATATTTTTAATGTTTACGAAACCCCTAAATCTGATTAGAAATACTAAGGCCCGATCTTACTAGTGATCCGCGGGATCAAAACTCTTAGTCTTGATCAAAATTGCCCAATGAGAAGGCGTCTTTGTGGTGATGAAACAAGCGAATATAGTCGATTTCTTTTAGAGGGTGGGGCAGAAAGATTTCCCCGATTTGGAGAGTCGATAAAAACTGAACTAATCAAGATATAGAAAAAAAACTTTATTTTTTTAAAAGCATAGACACGTATAATGTCGTTTTAAGACAACGACATCGCTCAAGTGTGCGCATCCATTGTTGATACACTGAGTGAGCCTCTCCCGATAATTTTCCACCACTCTGCTGATCATGTCAAGCGGAATGGCAGCAATTTTCTGAATTATCGTCTCCTTGAGATTGTCTAGAATTTGGGAGCGATGTTGGTACACACGCTGCACCATTATCGGCCAACCTCGATTTAGAGTGACCTCATCAACGACGACAGCACGCTGCAGTCCTGCCCAAGCCATGATTTATACTAAAAATGGCAGGAATAGACACGTCGAATGATATATCCCCCACTGCGCTATCCCCTCATTGCCGTAGCTAGATGGTTTCCAAATCGAGGAGGTATTTCTGCCCTACCCTGTAAAATACCTCCCAAACTATCGAGAAAATATACGATTGGTGTAAGAAGAGCTTATAATCCCCCATATTAAATAAAGAAATTCTTTATAAATCAACTGGTTTAGTTACAAAAATATATTTTTTCACTTGATCCGGAGATCAAAACCTATTGTCGGGGTCAACAATGACGAACTAGAAAGCGTTTTAGTAAAACTGGATCAAAAATTGGCCAATCGGAAACAAGTACATATCATAAACCCACCGTGTAGATGATAGAACCAAATTCAAAACAAACATAAACATCTGAAAAAATGTATAAAAGGGATATATCGGTTATCATTTAGGTATAGATTTCAACAAACTCCTTTATTATCTTCCATTATCACGTTTCTGCTGCTATACCTAAGCCGCATGTCGTCCTTTAACGTAATTAGAGATGTTTCTGGGTTACAGTTATTTTAAACACCTTTATCTGGTTTAGACAAATATATACTGTAGCCGTTGCTTCATAAAAGAAACGTAAATACCTTAAAAACAAACCGAAATGCTTTTATTATAAATATCGAAAAAACACAATGCAAAAAACATGAAACATGGGCAACCAGCACTCATGCTTCTTGTTAACGTGTTTGTTCGATTTTTTTTCGGAAAACTTAGATGCCCTTATGATATTACTTATGAAAAGTCGACTATATTCACTGGATCCGTTACGAGAAAGAAGCATTCGAATCAAGAATTTTGATCTCCTGTTAGTAAAATCGGCCCTAAACGACAGAAGCAATAGAATTTCGGTCCACACACGCACAAAAGATAAGGAACATGAGAAATAAAAAATACAACAAAGATTATATAATATATCTGGTATTAGAAAAATAAATACAGAATGATTCCTTAATTGTTAACATGACTGAACACAGCTACAAAGACCATGAAATAAGATTACATAATCAGAGGAAATCAACTTGAAAGTTATAATTAACAAAAAGGGTGAAGCAACTGAATAGTTAAACCGGTTAAGGGAGAAATTATAAATCAGGTCGCCTAATTTAGTAACTCAAAAATCCTTGCTTTTGACTTACTATATGGTATGGATAGACTTTATCGGGTTCTTTTTGGTGGAAGAATATTGTATCTCAGTCATAGGCAACCAGTAAATCTTCTACGTTATCTAGTAAGTATAATAGTGTCGGTTGCTCCCGCGTCTTCGATGCAAAAAATCACGGAAAGCTTAACTTATTGTTAGACCTACTGTATGACTTTCTATGATTTTTGCGGCAAAGTTTGAGGTTAGGGTAATTAATAGCGAAAACATTTCAAGTATTAGATGTATGAATAGAGCTGGTTTTAAAGCCAACTAAAATGTATTCAAGAACCAAAATAATTTTGGCAGATGCAAAGATGCTAAGTCTGTTTGCAGCCCAACATGCTCATTGGACACCAGAGCAATGGAAAAAAGTACTGTTTAGTGATGAGTCAAAGTTTGATTTGCACAAAAGTGATGGAGTTCAATATGTTCGGCGTATTGCAGGTAAAAGACTCGACCCAAAGTATGTCCAAGGTACTATAAAACATGGAGGTGGAAACGTGTTAGTGTGGGGTTGTTTCTCTGGCTATGAAATGGGACCAGTTTATCACATTGAGGGCATTATGGATAGGTTTAAGTATAAATATATCCTTGAAAATATCATGCTGCCTTATGCAGAATGGAATATGCTACTACGATTTGTTTTTCAACACGACAATGACCCAAAACATACAGCAAAATGTATAAAAGAATGGTTCAATGAAAATAGAATCACCATTCTTAATGGCCAGCCCAATCACCCGATCTTAATCCGATCGAAAACCTGTGGGAAATTGTAGATAGGCAACTTAGAACCAAATCCTATAAAAATAAACAGCAAATTTTTGAAGAAATTGAAAATATTTGAAACTATTGATCAAAACATAATTGATAATTTAATTTCTTCCATGCCTCAAAGGTGCCGCCAGGTTCTCGCAAATAAAGGACTGTGGACTAAATATTAGGAAGGCAACATGATAATGTATTTGTTTTTTGAATATTCTGTTTTGTATTATTTTTATTGTATGCGTAGCTTAAGATAAAATAATACAAAGACGACATAATATTACAAGTGCTGAAAATACAGAAGTTGAGAACGATGATAGTGGAAAACACGAAGATAAATATAATTTGAGTGACACAGAGTGGTATTAAAGAGGTTTTGTTCAACCATTTGTTTGAAAAATACTGTAATACTTCAATAAATAATATCCTACTAAGTCTAGAGCAAGTGTACTTTTTTTGTTAATTGATCCTACGAAAACTGTAGTAAGTCAACAAAATTTATTGAACAAATGTCATTTTCGCTAGGTTTGTATTGTAATACCATTTATAACCTTCTTATATACAAGAATTACTGCAATGTGCAACATATTTTGATCGTCATTTTTCTGACAATAAAATTCATCAGAAAATCTTCTAATGCCTGTATCTCAGTTCAAGCAAAACTGAGTTACAATACTCTTCCTTGCGGGGGTCGAAATATTCCAGGAATGGCATCGTTGATCTACTCTATACAGTTTAGATAAACTGGCAGAGAATAATTTTAGACTGATTTGCATATCGTTTAAATTTCATTATATAGTATGGAGAACCCATTACTCTCTTCATAGGGAAAACCAAATTTGTCTGATGGCTTGACTTCAAAGTGTACGAGATAGAAGTGCTAGAAGTGTGTATCAACACATATTAGAAAGAGATGGAAGCCGGTTGAAGAGCAAAGGTCATTACCACATTGCCTAGCAACTGTGAGGCAGAAGGTCGTGCAATTTGCCGTGTTGCCAATATGTTACAACAGAAAATGATCGCACAGGCTTCTACAATAGCTTAGGTTACTGTCAAACCCAAGAACTAGGTCGGAACATTTAATTTAATCTAAGATCATGCAGGTGGAGACCTTGCCTTGGAATGTACGAATGTAAATTTGGAGCGATCCTGACCTTCCATTTCGACCTGAAATGGTGTTCCGTTAGGACCGATTCAGAATCGATCCGAAACATATTTGACAAAATTCACAATTTAAAAATATGTACGCTCAAAATAAAACCATTATTTGGGCGTAGAGAATAAACTAACGCGTATTTTCAACATGCATCTTAATTCAAGGAACTTGTGTAACATATTGCTAACTTTATAGGCATAAGTACTGCTTGACCGTCAACATTGGGAGCTGTCTAGGTCTCTGTGCCATTTCGACATTCTTAGAAATAGCTAGGTACGAGATAAACAAACCTACGAGGCGCAAGATGCAAATGTCCAGGAAAATTGATACGGATACATGCACAAAGCATAGCTCGAATTGTCAGCCAGGTCACCACTGTGACTGCTGGATGCCGTCAATTCTGGTGCTATTGCAGGCAGACGAAGGGAACTGTGGGATTCTGGTAACAGATGGCACTTTGTGATATCTTATTGCGATATATCTTATACTCTGGATATTGGATAGCTCAGATTCCGTTCGTTGTCCTTTCTGAGACCAAGCCTACAGCATGTTGAGGAGTTGTCAAGTAGCACGAAGTTTGTTCACTGGCGAGTAGACCGTATTTATTATAACACAAGTATCGGCGGCATCTAGCGGCCACAGTGATACAGCGATAATATATGTGGTTTCATTTAGAGGCCAGGCAATCATGGATACCTTTCAACATGAAAACCACAGGATAAGATTCAGGTGTTACATCAACCCCATCTCAATAGCCTTACCACTACCAGTAAGTTTGACATGTTTGACCTACTGACTGATATCTGCCTTTCTGGTAAATTGAAAGTTACCATCCGTCAACCAAGATCCATTTTAAGCGTGGTTATGCGAAGAATGTTGACAAATTTCTCCCACGCAAACGAGGCTTTCGCTCCTCGAAACGGGATCTGAAATATTGTTTTTATCAAACAACTGCACGAAGACAGTCTGAGGTCCAGCCAGCTGAAATGATAAGCGGCAGTCCTTTTCCTGCTTGTTCTTTTTGTGCATGGCCGCATTCCAAAACCAGAACAGCGACGCGAAGCTGGAAATTAAAGTAATTTATGGTGAAAACCGGGAAAATTCAGGTCGACGAATATCACTCCCGCCGTTACAGAAATTGGAATTTTAAATCGCGTTGCTCGTGAATTAATGTCCGGGATGGAAATCTTAATGAAAGCATCAAGTGATTTTTTTCTCTTGCTGAAGTAGAAAGTGTTGAGGTTATCAGGGGATAAAAAGCAGGATATCTGGTTGAAGAGGGTCAGTCATTAAGGTATCTCGTTACACTGTTTAAAATTAGTACTATTATTTTATGGTCATA